ACACCTGCTTGCCCTCTCTCTCTCTTAGGGCAGATATTGTAAGGATGAAGTGAGCTCAGGACTCACGAACAAAGCGCAAATATCATTACCAGGCTTTCTTCCCTCCCTCTTCCTGTTTCGCGCCCTCTCAGACCAAAGACTGCTAATATTTCCCAGAGTACCTCTGCACATGAGATGTACTCAGGGAAATAGGCAGGAGACCAGTTGTTATTGTTAGGTGTCATCGAGTCGGTATTGACTCATAGTGACCCTATACACAACAGGAAAAAACACCTGCCCAAGCCTGCACCACCTTCACAACTGCTGTTACATTTGAACTTACAGCTGCTGCCACTGTGCCAATCCATCTCATTGGGGGGTCTTCCTCTTTTTCACTGACCCTGCACTTTACCAAGCATGGATATCTTTCTCCAGGGACTGGTCCCTCCTGATAACATGTCCGAAGTATGAGAGACCAAGTCTGGCCATCATGACTTCTAAGGAACATTCTGGCTGTACTTCTTCCAACACGGATTTGTTTATTCTTCTGGCAGTCCACAATATTCTTCTCCAACACCATAACTCAAATGAATCCATTCTACAGTCTTTCCTATTCATTGTTCAACTTTCTCATGCATATGAGGTAATTGAATATACCATGGTTTGGGTCAGGAACACCTTAGTCCTCAAACTGACAGCTTTGCTCTTCAATATTTTTAAGAGATCTTGTGCAGCAGACTTGCCTAAAGCGATATGTTGTTTGATTTCTTGACTGCTACTTCCATGAGCATTTATTATAGATCCAAGCAAAATGAAGTCTTTAACAACTTCAATTTTTCTCCATTTATCATGATGTTATTCACTGGTACAGTGGTAAGGATTTTTGTTTTCTTTCCATTAAGGTGCAACCCATACTGAAGGTTGTGGTCTTTGGTCTTCATCAGTGAGTATTTCAAGCCCTCTCCACGTTCAGTAATCAAAGTTGTATCATCTGCATATCACAGGTTGCTAATGAGTTTTCCTTCATTCATGATGCCACATTTGTTATATAAGATTTCCAAGGAGTGACTGGTGAGTTTGAACAGCCAACCTTCAGTTCAAACCAACCTTGCAGTCCCATGCCTATCCTACAGCACTACACCAAGACATAATTGTCATTTTATTGAATAGTGTGGCACTGCAGGATAATGCACTGGACTGAAAGGTCAGCTTGAACTGCAAAATCAGAGGTTCAAATCCACCAGCCACTCCTCAGAAACTCTAGACAGGGTTGCTATGAGTCAGAACCGAATTGACAGTACTTTAACAACAACAACAACAAAGTGTGTATGTTATATTTATAGCAAATGATAACAGTTTAATCTCTGATAGTATTATCATTTCTTTTTAAAATAGGGGGCACAGTTAAGGACACTTCCTAGACATTCAAATACCTTTTAGGATTGGTTTACTAAGTCAAAAGATTCAGGACCATAACTTTATGGGACAACTCAATCAGTTGTCATAGCATAGTTCATAAAGATAATGTTCTATATCCTAGTTTGCTGAGTAGTGTCTAGGGACTTAAAAGCCTTCAAGGGGTCATTTAAGATACAACTAATGGTTTCTACTCTTCTGGAGCAAAAGAAAAGGAAAGAAATCAAATTCAGTGAAGAAACTAGTCTGTAGAACTAATAACCCACACAAACTATGACCTCTTCCAGCCTGAATCTGGAAGATCTAGATGGTACCCAGATACCATTATGGATCATTCTGACCAGTGACACACAGAAAGTCCTGGACAGAACAAAAGAAAATGTAGAACAAAATTAAAATTCCTGAAAAAAGTCAGAAATAGTGGACAGCTAGAGGAACCCCCTTTGAACTTGGAACTGAAGCCATTTTGGAGGTCACTTTTCAACTAAATAATAGAATGACTTACAAAACAAACACTATCACCCATGAGCAATGTGCTTTCTTGAATATGAAACCAAATGATCAAAATTTACCCAAAAGCAAAGATGAGAAGTCAAGGAGGGGAAGAGAAGCTAGATCAATGGAAACAGAACCAACAGAATGGAAAGAAGAAGACTGATATATTATGAAAATTATAACCAAGGTCATGGAACAATTTATATAAAAATTGTCAAATGGGAACCTAACTTGCTGTATAAACTTTCACTTAAAACACACAAACCTAACCCAAACCCACTGCCATTGAGCAGTTTTCAACTCATAGTGACCCTGTTGTTGTTGGGTGCCATCGAGTTGGTACTGACTCATAGCGACCCTCTGCACAGCAGAACAAACACTGCCCGGTCCTGGGCCAACCTCACAATTGTTGCCACACTTGAGCCCATTGATGCTGCCACTTTGTCAATCCATCCCGCTGGGAGTCTTCCTCTTTTTCTCTGACCCTCCACTTTACCAAACATGATATTCTTCTCCAGCAATTGGTCCCTCATGACAATATGTCCAAAGTATGAGAGACAAAGTCTGGTCATCCTGGCCTCCAAGGAGCACTCTGGCTGCACTTCCTCCAACACAGATCTGTTTGCTCTTTTGACAGCCCATGATACTTTCAATATTCTCCTCTAACACCATAACTCAAAAGCATCAATTCTTCTACAGTCTTCCTTATTCACTGTCCAACTTTCACAAGCATATGATGATGTTGAAAATACCATGGCTTGGGTTAGGCGCACCTTAGTCCTCAAGCTGACATCTTTGCTCTTCAACACTTTAAACAGGTCTTGTGCAGCAGATTTGCCTAATGCAGTATGTCATTTGATTTCTTGACTGCTGCTTCCATGAGTGTTGATGGTTGATCCAAGATGAATGAAGCCCTTGACAACTTCAGTCTTTTCTCCATTGATAAGAATGTTGTTTATTGATCCAGTGGTGAGGCTTTTTGCTTTCTTTACATTGAGATGCAATCCATACCAAAGACTGTGGTCTTTGATCTTCATCAGTAAGTATTTAAAGTCCTCTTAGGACAGATTATAACTGCCCTATTGGGTTTCCAAGGCTATAAATATTTGAAAAGGCCCCATCTTTTTCTGTAGAGTGGCTACTGGGTTTAAACCTCCAAACTTTTAGCTAGCAACCAAGGCTATTTATAACCACTAAGTCACCAGCATTCCAAAAACACAATACATTTAAAAATTTAAAAATTAATTTATAAGTTTATTTAAGTTTCTTAAAGTAAGTTTTAAAAAGAAAAATAAACAATAATGCAAAAATAAAGCAAAAAAATAAAAAACAAAGAAAAAAGTTTGAAGTTGGAATGTAAATGAATGAGGTTTATGGAGCTCTCCAATGAATTAGGAGGGCACCTCCAGCCTCAGGTACCAGCAACAGAGCTCCAAGGCAGGTGACCAAACACAAAGAAAACCAAAAGGCAAAGTCATGTGGTTGGTCCTGCTGCTTAGTTTTCATAGGTCCAGATGCAGAAATTTTACCAATCAATTGAGAACCACTTAGAACTTGGTCTTGGTCCTGGGATGCTATATCCATAAAACTGTGACCCTCTACCTTTTTCTTTAGGAACTCCTTGTCTCCATTTTTCTGATGCTCAATGCCCCTTTATAGGATTTCATTAAGGAAGAGGGCAGCCTTTAGACCATCACCCAAGGTATAAGGAAGATGTTTAGCATCTCTGGAAGAAATATGTTTAAAGAGGAATCTGGAGAGGAAGGAGTAATCTTCATGCTGGGCTGTCAGGCCCTGGGTCATGAAGTGAGGGAATATTCCCTGTGAGTCAGCATCCCAGCACCCCACAACTCACCCTCTGCACCCATACATAGAGCAAGCCCCCCTCACGCCTGTACCTTTAGGCATGATATATGAGATGCTCTTAAGAAGAACCACCTGGAAACTTGACCAAGGTCCTGATCCCCCTCCACCCCCCTTCACTCAAGAATTAATCTGGGCATCTATTTAAAAGGGTATGGGGCTATAGGATAAGCTCTCTGGACCTGAAGGTCAGTTTGAACCACAAGGTCAGCGGTTCAAACTCACTAGCTGCTTCTTGGAAACCCTATACAGGGATGCTATGGGTCAGAACCAACTCAACGGCACTTAAAAACAACAACAACAACAGCTCCTCCTTGGAAACTCTATATACTTAGAAACAACAACAACATCATATATGGGATGATCCATGAAATTCACTCCAACTGAAAAGACAGGGAAAGGGTATAGATAGACAACTCATAAAAGAAATACAAACAACAATATACATATGAGAAATATTCAACCTCATAGGTATCAAAACCTCTTTTTCTTATCCAGTTGGCAAATCAAACAACACTACCAAATGCTGGCAAGAGTAAGGGGAGAAGGTCTTAGTGCACAGCTGGTGGGAATTTAGACGGAGACCCCATGTAGTGTTAAGTGCTCAGCTGTGGATCGAAAGGTTGGTGGTTTGAAACCACCCACCAACTTCTGTGGAAGAAAAGACATTGGCATTCCACTCACATGAAAGTGACTGTCACATGGAGGTCTATACAAGTCAAAATCAACTTGATGGCACCTAACACCAGGGCAATTTGGAAATGCTCATCCAAGTCTTAATGACAACTTCTATTGGCTTAGGAATTCCATCAGGAATTTGTCTTAAGAAAAAGCTTTAATTATAGATATTCTCCATGGTGTTGTTGTCATCATTAATTGTAGACACCAGTCTCCATGGTGTTGTTGTCATCGTCGATTATAGACACCAGTCTCCATAGTGTTGTTGTCATCGTCGATTGTAGACACCAGTCTCCATGGTGTTGTTGTCATCGTCGATTGTTGACAACACAGCATGGACACAGGGCTGCACTGGTCTTCTCATCATGTCTCTGGGTCCTCTCAAGTCTACCACTTCCTTGGACCCCCAAAACACAAAAGCCTGCTCATAGGAAATCCACAAGGAGGAGATAGGACCTCACCTAGACCTACCTGGAGAAGTAGAGAGGAGACCCAAAGCAAAACAGAGGCCTAGGAGAGCCCGGCCTGGGCAGGGAAGGATGGAAAACAGGGCCAGTCCAAGCACTGACCTCTGGGCATGTCCATGGGGTTGAAGCTGGCCAGCAGGTCCCGGCACCACTGTCGGTCACCCTCCACCTTGCTCAGCCAGTTGTTGCAGTTAAAGTAGTAACGGAGATGAGGCCGCTTCATGTCGGTCACAATCACATGGTTCAGGTACCAGCTGGCATTCAAGCCTGTGTTGTCATGCTCAATCCTGGGCAGAAGCAGACACCAAGATGACATTCTTCCCACACTGGAGGGTCCAATCCTCACTTCAAAAAGAGGTTCTATCATTTTGTTGCTGCTTTACCTTTCTGGACCTCAGTTTCCTCCTCTATGACATGGGGCTACCTTAACAGATGTTACACTGCCTGCAAGGAAATGTTCCCTGTCAGAGTGAAGACACCCGGATGGTCAAGACTGCAGTGGACCAGCGTGATCTTCCCCCTTCGAGGTTCCCCCAACAAGCGCTGTTTCCTCACCTTGGCCTCTGGAAGCTGTATCTGTCTGGCTCCCCCTTCCCTGACCCTTCACACTCTGGCCCAAATATATACACAAACCATTTCCTGAAGTCCAACCGAGTTAATGCCAAACAAGACAGTTCATCAAGACTTTGCTGAAGGGAGGAATGGCAATAGGGAGATAAACAGAAGTCAGAAAAACAGCCAGGTCACCTGACTTATGGGGCATAATTTGAATGGAGGAAGGTGCCGAAAGGGAGGAAGACAGATAAGGGACAATTGAGACTAGATGGAAATGTCCTTCCCGATCATTCACAAACCCCGCCTCCTCAAGAGAGACAGAAAGGGAATAAGCTGTCAAATCGTGTCTTGCCACCTGACCTGGGCTCTCTAGCACTCACCCACTGCATTTTCACTAATGAGGAGGTGGGCACTGTTACTACAGATGAAGAAACGGAGGCTTGGAGAGACCCAGGGTCCCCCAGCTAGAAAACAGCAGTGTAGAGATTTGAATTCAGGTATCTGTTCACATAAAGATTACCCAAAACCAAACCAAACCCACTACCACTGAGTCAACTCTCTCTACAGGAGCAGATTTTCACACCTTTACCCATCCTGTGGGGTGCATGGCTCATGGGCTACAACTGCCAACATTTTGGTTAACAGTCCAGAGCTTTAAGCATTGTACCACCAGGGATCCTTCCGTAAAACCCTCAGGGCAGTCCTACTCTGTCACACGGAGTCGACATGAAATTGATTTAGTCATACCTAATAACAACTGGAAGGAGCTCCGGTAGCGTAGTGGTTATGAATCAGGCTGTGAACCGCAAGGCCAACAGTTCAAAACTACCAGGTGTTCCGGGGGGGAAAGATGAGGCTTTCTACTCCCGCAAAGATATACAGCCTCAGAAACCCTGTACAGGGTCGCTATGAGTTGGAACCGACTCCATGGCACATAACAACAACAACAACAATAACAACTGGTGTGGCAATGTAAGATAAGCAGTCGACTGCTAACCATAAGGTTTGCAGTTCAAGCCCACCAGCCACTCCTTGAAAACCCTATACAGGGTTACCATGAATAGGAACCAACTCGACAGTGCTTAACAACAGTGACGATCTGAACTCAGTGTGTGAACGTGTAACCACTATGCTATAAATTATCTCAATTTGTCTTATCCCAAAGAAATGAATCTCTAATGGTAAAGTCTAGGGCACCCTGGTTCAGGATGGGAGGAAAAGATTTGGGCCTTTGTAGCCTTGCAAATGACACCTGGTGGGAAATCAACACCTAAATGTGCCAATAGTGAAGTCAGTTCCTAACCTTCTTGCCATATACACACGCTGGTCAGGGCCAAAATCTCACCTGATTTTGTAGATGAGACCCACATTGTTGGTTCTCACCCGGAAGACATCGACATTGGCTTTCTCAAAGGCAGATTCGCTCCTGCAATGGGCACAAGTATAGTTAGTACGGATCAGCACTTGGCTCCCAGGCTGAGGCAGAGAGCCAAGAGCTGGCAGCTCCTTTTCCTCCATTATTCCATTCCTGGGAAACACCATGAGCAACCGGATCCCATCTGAGAGTTCTTCCGATGGAGATGGAGTGAAGAAGGGCAAAGAGAATTACTCCTCCCTTCTCACTTTCATATCCAGACTTTCATTGGATCCTTGTGTGTCGTTAAGGCAAGCACAGCAAGCATGTTTGGCCCATTTCTAAACAAGTTGTAGCTAGAACTTGGCTCTCCACATCCAATGCCCTACGGTTGCTCTGAGTCAGGAAAATGGAGGAAGAAGGAAGGCATGGTAAATGCCTCAGTGCTCTTGGGTCTGCCGACCTCCTTGTCTCTCCTCCTCACTTGCCTGGCTCTTACTGGGAAGAGTTGCAATGGCAGACCCAAGTAGATGCAAACCTTGGGTGGTGGCCCATGGTCCTGCCATCCCAACAAGAAAGGAAGCACTAAATCCCAAGTCAACAACCGGGGAAGTGGGCAGTGAGGGAAATTCACAGTTGACATCCTGCAAACAGTGTGAACAGAAGAAAGTAAACCTGTGACAGCCAGCAGTGAGGTGTCCAGGCACGTCCAGACACAGGAGCAGCCTAAAGTCAAGCAGCTTAAACACAGGAGGACTGAGCCTGAATCTCAGGATGACATCTTCTCAGTCCTTTCCAAGCAGCACCCCAAGCCATAGAAGCCAGGCAGCCAGCAGTATTTCCTGCTCAGCAGTGAAGCCCTGAGGGCCTTGAAGCTACCAATCCCACTGGGAACCATCAGAGTTCTCGGGACCAGCACATGACCCCTTGGAAAAGAAAACATACATGCCTATTCATTGACCATTGGTGTGTTTCAAAATAAAGGGGAGGGGAGGGTCTTCACCACAGGGCACAAGTTAACAGAGGACTTTTGAGGTTCTACGCAATCCAAAAGCACGAATCTGCAAAAGGACCCACTTTAGCAAACAATCTGCCTGGGGAGAAAGTTCCTTTAGGTGGCTGCATCAGGAGACAGGGAGCTTACAGTCCTTCTAGAGCCCTGCAGAACTCAGGAAATGAGGCTAAAATGTACACTGGGGTAGAAGGGAAAGGGAGCTGTATGGGGGCAGTTTGGGGCAGAGAGGAGCAAGGGGAAGACAATGGGAGTCTAGCTGGGGTGAACTGAGTAGCTACTAGGCTTCCTGCCTGAACCTGAGACTCCAACACGTTTTAGCCTGGGAGGAAGGGAGAGACTGAGACAAGGCACTGGACCCAGAGTCTCTTTGCCACCATCTGCTTGATAAAGACAAAGACTGTATTATGTTAGTTCTGGAGGAAGAACAAGGTAAACAAGACACATCATCGTCCACGTTGTCCATGAACCAGAAAATCCTCCTTCCTGGAAAAATAAACGTACTGGGCCCAGATCTCCCCTTTCCCCAGCCTCCTTCCTGGTAGTCAGAAATGCTTCTTATGGTCAACAGAGTCCAGGTCATGTTTTCCAGGTGGTGTAAATGGTTTACACACTTGACTGCTAACTGGAAGTTTGGAGGTTTGAGTTCACCCAGAGGCAACTAGAAGAAAGGCCTGGTGATACACTGCTGAAAATCAGCTATTGAAATGCCTGTGGATCGTAGTTCTACTCTGACATACATTGGGTCACCATGAGTCAAATTGACTCAATAGCACGAGATACTGGTAGGACAGAAGCAGAAAGAAACGTGAAATCCCCTGAGAAGACAACTTATGATTGATTGGTTGGAAGTTGCTAATATGCAATGGTCAAATTTAAAATAACCAAACCAGCAACCATGGGGATCTGATTAATGTTGGAATTTCCAGCCATACTTCTGAGGGTGAATGATACACCTCATCATACTTGGGTTCAGAACTACAACAATTAAATTACATGGAATATATGTGAACATCAAATCAAGGCTGGGTGAACAGAAAAGAAAGGAATAACCGGGGAGAATTTCTGTTTTAATATATAAAAAAAGGCAGCTGAGCTTCAGAATCAACAGACAAGAGTCTGTATGTCTAATAAATA